TACAAAAAAGAAAAAGCCATCCAAGTGTCGACCTCTATTGATAATCCATACGGTCCAAGCATCTATAAAGAAGCACTCAAAGTTTATAGATTGCTAGCTTCACCTATTCTAACTTGTTTATTTTTTTCTATAGAAATCTAATTAGGATAATATTCACGACAACCCAAACGAAAGAGAGGAGGTGGCATGCTAGGGTTAGGAAGAAAATAATTTTCACCTTTTTTTATTTTTGAGTGTTATGCACCTAGCTTTTTTTTTTCTCTTTGCCAAATTTTCTCTATTCCAAAAAGCTTATGTTTGCCGTACCTCTCTCCCATATATATAGGGGGAGGCTTCTTTCTCCTTCAAGGACAAGGATGAGTGGTAATGACTCCCTTAAAGACTCTAGATTGTTACTTCCTAATCCTCCAAGGATTAAAAGTTATTTTGCATGTCCACTTTTTAATCTTTATCTTTAAAACATTCATCCTTATCCAATAAGATTCATGTTTATCCTCATACTAAAATATCTTTTAGGCTTTTAATTAAACTTATTGGCTCAAAACTATTTTGGTACAATTAATTAATTTGGATTATCCAAATAAATTAAGTTAGATAATTTAGGATGCCCATATTAGACAATAATTTTCCAAATTACTCTTAAATCTAAATTAGGAAGCTAATTCTTATTTTAGGTTATTCATTTCAAATTTGGAACTAACTTCTAAATTATGAAACTGATTTCTAAAATAGGAAGCTTTCTATTTTAGGAAACTTCCATCTTAGGAAATTTTTCATTTTTGAAAACCTTTTTCAAAATAGAAAACTTTCATAATTGAAATTTTTTTCCAACATCTTTGTTTCTCTTTAATCATATGAATGCTTAAACTTATGCATATGACTCAATAGACTCCTAGATATGTTGGCAATATTTTAAGAATAAAAGAAACCTCTTTTATCTATTGATACATAAATCAAGAGTGGCCTCTAGCAAGGGAATTTGACTATCCAATTCTCTAGAAAGATTAATTAATTTATAATTACCTTTCACGAGTATGGTTATGATACAATTTAGTCATCATGTCGACTTATCATAGTGTGATCTCAAACTTGGTTATTAGTCTTATTCGATCACAATCACACAAGTTTTCTTCGATTCTCAAATGTCTTAGCTCTTAGAGTAAATCAACTATACTCTATTGGTGTACTTCTACTATGACCATAGATTTCTTGAGTAGACATTCATCGAAGTGTAATATAATAATTCTTTTAGCTTATAAGGAATAACATGTCCTATCTTAGTCATTCACTTACCTCCCTTAGATTCCTAGTGTATCCAACAAATGCCCACGTGTAACCCTTTACTAGATCCATCAAAACGAGTGTTAAAGTACATAAATCCTCCAATGAGATAACTATGATGACTTCAAGTCCGAGGACTAATTGCACCCATTTGATATAAGATTCCTATAGACTAAACCAAATGGATTCTTATGGTGAGTCAAGTCTAATGATATATTCTCTAACATAAATCACCTAAGTGCTTGCTTCGACATCATCATGTCAATAGGTATGAGATCTCATACTGCTATCATATAGTATGAGCATAATACTCACAAGTCTAATCATATATAATCAATGTCCATTCTTGACCATACTATGACTTAGGACATTTAATGATATCATTTATGTGCGTTAGTGTTTGTCTCACATCTTTCGATCAATTATTTCAATCAATCACTAATGCAAATGCATATTATGTGAACTTTTATCTAATTCTAATCAATAAATAAATGTAAATAATAAGAATTAATAGAAAGAATTTTTTTTTAATTATAAATAATATAAATGATACAATAATATAATAAGTCAAATCCATTCAAATGAGGTTAGATCTTGGGCACTTACATTAACACAATCCTTTACTTGGTCCATCGAAATGAGTGTTAAAGTACACAAATCCTTTATTGGATCCATCGAAATGGTTTCCTCCTTCATGTCATATGGCCAATAGCTTTTTGCTTTATAATTTGACATGGTCGTGTGACTTCTCTAAGCCTCTTTAGTGTTTTCTCTCTTCCTTGCTTTGGTTTTGGGTTTCCTTGGTTCGATTCATTATTTTTTTTACAAAACTCAAAGCCATCATCTTATTCTTATTTAACCTAATATAAACAATAAACAATAAATACTAGAAAGTTCAATTTAATGAAACATAAAAATCATGTTAATTATGTACTCATTAACCATCGCTAAATCCCCCTTAAAATTTTGGGGTTTTTGTAGCGATGGTTTATGCGAACCATCACTAAATTCTCCAAATGTATCGGTTGGGGGCTTTGGGGAAATTTGGCGATAGCTTATCCAAACCGTCACTAATTTTGCCAAAAATGGTATGTTAGTAACGGTATCCCAAAAACCATTGTTAAAAACACAAAAAAGGTGGAACTTGCGACAGTCGACTAGAGCATCGCTAAATTCCTTAAAGGTATATGTTAGGGGTTTTAGGGTAATTTGGTGACACTTTGCTCAAACTCGTCACTAAATTTTCCCAAAATGATCCGTTAACAACACTTTCTCATAAATCATGGTTAAAAACATTAAAAAATGGGTGAAATCTACAACGGTCTTACCTATTGTTTCTCATAAAGCATCATTAAAAACATAAAAAATGGATGGAATCTATGATGGTTTGACCAAACTTTCGCTAAATCTTCCAAATGTACCGAGTTGAGGGTTTTGGGGAAATTTAGCAATAGTATGTTTGAACCGTTGCTCAATTCGGCTTAAAAGGTTTTTTAGTGATAGTTTTGCTAAATTCATCATTAAAATAAACAAAAAAAAAATAGATGTAGTCCGTGACGGTCGACCAAATTGTTGCTAAAGTCTGTTGGGATTTAGAAATGGTTTGATAAAACCGTCGCTAAAAACCCAATAATTTTTTTTTTGGGCGAGAGTTTGATGAAAAATGTCGTTAACTTAGGGTCCAATTTGTGATTCTTTTTTTTTTTTTTTGAATTTGTGAGTTCCCAATGATGTTTATACAAATTGTCATTAAAAACTAACACTATTAACAAAATTACCTATGGTTTATAGAGACCGTTGCTAATTTTTGTTATTTAGAGACGGTTTTCTAGACTGTCAGATCGTCTTTAATTAATGGACATTATTCCTCTGTTTCTTGTAGTGAATCCAATAGAATGGTGATCAAGCATCCAAAAGCATTAAACATAATAATGTATACTCTAATGAAATTAACACACAAATTAAAGAATTCATCAATAAATGAATTGGCTAAATCTTGGTATTAGTAGTTTAATTTAGTTCATAGAAAAAGAAACAAAAGAAAGAAAACAAGAAATAGAATGTGGAAGAAGGAACATCAACTCAGTTAGTGTTGTGTGTCTTCTTTGCATCTGAGCACTCACGTCTTCTTTCTCGAGTTTTTTCTTTTAGTTGTTACTGCTTTTCTTTTTTGTTAACCTCTGCTCCAAATCTCTTGAATCGTCCTCTTTTATTAACCTTTGAGCCTTAATTGAGTTCTTGTTGAAATAGGGGCGATCGATATTGACTAAATAGATAAATAGTGAAGTTGTAGCCCTAGATTTTAGCTCTTTCATTCTAAGAACCATCCAACAAGCTGGATTCACAATTTATGCAATATAATAAAATTATACTCAGCGAGTAGGGGTGATCTGAATTTTGGCTGAACCATGGTCAGCCCAGATCAGGCGAAACCTGAATGTTGTCATTTGATCTGGTACTACAACGGAGCTCATATAATGCTAATTAGTTCAATCTATTGCGTTGCCTCAGCTCAAGAAAAAAAAAAAAATTGTCTGTCTGCTATGCTTTTATATATCTAGTAATTTCCTTAGTTTTGTTTCTAATTCCTATGGATAAACTTGTAGTTGCATTAGTAGAAACCTGATATTGATTTGCTTATGAGTGAAATTGCATTGATATGAATTTAGACTAATTTTGAGTTAGACAATTCTAAACCTCTTCTCTAGAACATTTACTTTGTAATGAATAAGAAAAAAGGAAATAATCTAGAGATATTGGAAGGTCATGATTATCTGCTACTGGACCTGATAGAAGATTTTAATTTGAGTATCAAAGATATTAGACACTAATGATGATTTTGGAGAGGTCTTCTTTGCATCTTCTGCAATTGCTATTCACTGTTACCTTAGGAAGGAAGAGGTCATAAATATGATATGTGATGAGCTCATGTTCAAAAGTTGGTTCTGTGGACGAGGAAACTATACAATTCTTTCGCTTTTTTAAATAGAATGTCTTCAGATGATGCATAAAGAACACTGAGCTTTTTGTTTCTTTTTTACATGCAACGGTGGAGAAACTGAAAGAAACAGTTGAATCAGAAACATCAAGAAAGCGTAAAGTTGGTCTCAAGTCTTCTATACTGTTTCCATTGTATAGTCCAACTTTGCGTGTAAACATGTCTCTTCAATTTTCCGTGAAACATAAAATCACCTATACTAAACTAACTCTTTTAATATTCAAAATCATGATGAAAAGTCCATATATACCGATATAGTTTTGCAATATCCTCGTCTTACTTTTAGGTTGACACTTCTCTCCATGATTTAGAACTAATTTTTAGTCCCATCTATATGGAGATTCTACAATGCAACTCAGTTAAGTGTTGCGATCAGATCCTTCTTATTTATTTATTCAATACTTCAGCTTAGGGCCAAACTTCCGTGACCCGTTGTAATACTAAACCATCTACAGGCATTCTACGTTCCTATACTGCATCCTCTGCAATATACATAATCCCCAGTAGAAAACATTAATACATTCTCAACAGAAACGAAAACAACATCAACTAACATTATGATGATAACTGAAAATGTTCAACTTTGAAAAACATGGAAGTTGCAACACTCTCCTGTTGCCTAATACAACTTAGCATATCCCGGACAACATAGCTATTCCCTCCCCAATTTCATTAACTATAAACAGAATAAGGAAGAGAATCGACGCAAAAAACGATGTTCTCAGTTTTCAAAGACTGAAAAAGATCTTCGAATCCCTTTGAGAAAGTACGAGGAATTAGTAGCAGCAACAGACGTAGCACTAGCAGTAACATTGGTAGAAGAAGTTGGTGACTTGAGAGAAGAATCACTTCCAACTACATCTCTGTCCTCTTCGCTAATTGTATCCAGCATTTTTGATGCTCTGTGCCTGATGACATTAATATATTGTGGTGGTGCAGCCTCAGTGATGAACTTTGCTATGCGTGAATTTGCCATTCTTTTAAAATGTTGGGAAGTTTCAAGACCTATAAGAGAAAAGAAAAGCTAAAAAAGATGGGTGCCCGGAAAAGGAGAAGTGTTTGTTGTAAGGAGGCTTGCCTGTGGATGTCGATGAACTCGTGCTGTGGGTGAGCTTTATAACCGAAATATTTAGGCTGAAATTGAATCATGAGTCCTAGTCAAACAGATAAATTGAAATCAAATTTATCAGTTTGTGCCGCCACTCAACTTTTTGTATTAATTGCCAAGGGTTGATGTTCGCAAGACGGTTCAAGGAGATAACCTCGTGGTAGGTCCATAATCTGGTATGTGTCATACCTTTTGTGGAGAAATGAGATATCTCTAAAGATATGGTTTTTGTTGTGAAGGATGGCTCCCAATTTCGCACTTTTCTGAGTTTAGCAAGACGCAGGCAGTTGATGCCATCTGTAAGTTGATGTGTTTGATAGAAAGGTAATCCTTGTAACTTTCTAGTCACTTGCTTAGGAGAGAGATTCAACTCTCTGTTTGCCCTATATTTGCGCAATTAACGACGCTAACAGGAAACTTGCCAAATCTTCTTTGCCCCTTCAAGGAAGAAAAGGGTCCTATTTGGCTGGCTGGAAATTTATTATGCATTAACTTGAGGAAATCTACACCATAGATTGTTAATATTTTAGTCCACCAACTACTCTAGAATATTGATCAGAAAAGGGCATGGACGAACACAACGAGGGAAAGATGAGAGAGCATGTTGTCTGATTAACTGCTGAACTTAAATCCATAAACTTTTTTGGTTTTTGCTTATGATAGTTTGTTGTTTGAATTTTCCTAGTAGTGAATCAACATTTTCCGTTTGTGCTGGTTTGACCGCATGAAATCCTTTCTAACTAACTCTTTGGATGTGGAGAAATTAAGTAAGAGGTGAGCTCAAGAAATTATCAGGGAATGTTGGATAAATATTCAATGATTTTGGTATTAGCTCTCTATTGATCAAGCAAGGGAGATTTGTGAGTGAAAAGACAACCGTCTTTTTAGTAATTTAAGATTCTTCTTGTGGTTATAAAAAGGCATGTCAAAATTTCTTAAATCTTACCTTAAACAGTTAGGCTGTGTAGGTTAGTTGATAGGATTGGAGAGGACAGCAATGGACCAGATAGAATTAGATGGGGCATGGGAGAGGTAGAAAAATTAGTAAATACTAGTGCAAGTGGAGTCATATCTGTTTACATGTACCAAATGCTACCTTATATTATTATATAAACAAATTCAAGATCTTTTCAGAGCTATCCGTGCTACAATAACTGGATTTAGAAAGTTGATTAGAATGTAACAAAGGAAAAGTAGATTAGGAATCAGAAACTGGCTTTGGAAGCGCTGCATATGGATATCAGGACCACCGATTTTAATAGTAAAAGATTTTTTTTTTTTTAAATAGTAATCTAAAGTGATTAAAAAATTTTAAAAAACTCATCTGCTCAGATATTATAGATAAAAAAATAGTTAGTTACTTACGTTATGCTGCGAGGAGAGTATAATTGTATTGAACAGATGAAATCATTAAAAAAAAAAAGATTCATTTATTGGAAAAAATAATAAAGAACATTTAAACATGTCTAACATAGAGTAACGCGGTTATATATGAAGAAAATTATTTGTAAAAATTATTTTGTCATTTGGTTCAACACATAAAAAACATAGGTATAATCCTTTTTTATTTCTCATAGCTTTCTTCAAATTCGAACTCTCCATGCTCTAAGTTTTATGTTATCACATCTGTTGCCAAAAAAAAAAAAAAAAAGGAAAAAGAAAAAGAAAAAAAAGTTTATGGCAATGTATAAATAACTCGAAGTTGTTTTTGCAATTAATGCAATCTATAATAATCATATTAAACATGATACCACTTCATCTTCATTTTTTTTATATTTAAATTGTGAGTAGAAATAATATTTTTAAATTATCAAAGACAATTAAAAATAGTCTTATGTTATGCATCAACTTGAAGTTTTTAATAATTAACATGTATAAGCAACCTTTTTCGAACGACGAAGGAAACTTGTCAACATGAATTTTTTAAAGCATGCATCATATCTTAACAAAACATCAATTGATGACAACTTTTAATATTAACACTATTATATTATATAAAATCAGTTTACATCACTTTCAAAAGTAAGTCGCATTACATATTTGAAAGGAGTAATGTGGTTGATACAATTTGATAGAGAAGAAGTTGGAATTGGATAAAACTTATGAAACTATAAAATAGATACCGAAAGGCATTGCAATCGAAAGCAAAATAAAAAATTTTAATTAAAAAAAAACAACTATATTGAAGAGAGTGAGACTAGTAAAAAGATAAGATACAATAGACCGGCTCTAGGCAAAATGCTAAAAGCAAGCACTAACTACTACGATTAAAGACATTAAAATGAAAAGCAAAAATACAAAAAATTGCAAAATCTCTCAACAAACTACGTTCATAAAGTAATGAATAATTTTACAAACAGAAGGTAGAAGAACTTAAAATAAATAAGAAGAAAGATAAGGAAGAAATTACGGTAGTCAAAATGTATCATCAAAACAACACATAGCAATGTAAATATATGCATTCAATAGCAAAAGAGGACACCAAGCAATTGCTAAAACATAACAAAAAATCATCAATAGCCAACTAAAACATGCAATTAAGCATCTAGAATTGTTATAAGGAAAATAACATCAAAGGAAAAAAGCAAAAACTTTGAAATGAGGAAAAAAAAACACATTGTTGAAGAAAAACAAATAAAGCACTATAGAAAGTAAAGAAACAACAAAATACACCTACACGAGTTAAAAAATTATTTAGCGAGAAAAAACAAAATTAAATACGAACCTTGAGTCCAAAGTTCGACCTCCAAAGTTTTATTCTTTAATCACGAAAAAAAAAAGAAAACAACATAAGGTCAAAATTGCAAAGTTAATCCAACAAATCTAAACACAAACAAAAGAAACAAACTAACTCGAAAAAGAATATCAACAACACCAACATCATGTCAGCAATTAAAAAAAAACATTAGTCAAGAATTAAATATCCAACCCTAAAATTATAAAATCTTCCTCAAACAAGTAAAGCCTTTTTATTAATTCTATGTCATCGAAGGCAACAACCGAAAAAATGAATAAAATTGGCAAGCCACCTATAAATCTGTCTTCACCATAAACCTAAAAAGAGAAAATAATGAGGGAAAGGACATGAAAAAAAACTCATATATATTTTTGTGAAATCATAACAAAATTCACTACCATCCAATAAATATCCTAAACATACAAATAAGAAACATTTTAAAAAAACAAGGAAGAGGACATTAAAAAAATGTCACTTTTTTTTTTTATTTGCAAAATAACAACAAAACTCACTATTATCTAGCATGTCAATAGTCTAAGCACATAAATAAAAAATGATTAAAAAATCAGCAAAATTCATTATAAAGAAAGGCAAAACTAAAACTAGCAATGACAATCAAAGGGAGAAAAAAAATTAAAAAGCATCACTTATGAAGTAGATAAAAATAATAATTTCAATTAATCCATTAGTGAAAGAAATTTCAAAGGAGAGAGACGTAAAATAAGCACAATTAACAAGTGTCAAAAGGATAAAACAAAACTTATCTAATTGTAATATATATATATATATATATATATATATATATATATATATATATATATATATATATATATATATATATATATATATATGTCGAAGTCAATTGAGAGGGGATAAGAAATGGATTAACCGAAGGCTCAACTTCCACTGCTGGAATAAGTGAAGTTTTAGATATCTATCATTAGTAAGATAACCATAAAAATTCATTATAGGTAAAATACATATGATTCTATATTGCCATGGAGCAAAATGGGATCCACTTGTATCAAATTCATAGATAGTTTTCATGTATACAATGAAGCGAGAATGTAACACTATATTGCTACTTGCTCTAAAAAACATGTCCCTTTCATGGTATACATCATAGAATCATCCATTTTCTATTATATAAAAAAAAAATTTATTTAGCTTTAGTGTAAGAAATTCATGCACATATCTTCAAAAATAATGAATTGATTTAAGGCTCTAATTGATTCTTTTAAACAAAAGCTGTTACTTATTTGGTTTCATCATATTGCAACGGACTCTATTTATCCTAAAAAAAATTTTAATTTGAAAATTTACTTTGTCTCGTCCGGAAAGCTAAAAAAATTGTAATTGAATTTTGAAAAATTAAAAGATTTCTCAAATCTGTATTTGAATTTTGAAAAAAAAAAAATGATCATAATTTTAGAGACTTATTCAAATTCCTAAAATAATTATGCATAATGAATTAAGATCGAGTCATATGGTCATAGGACCTTCTATCCTTAAGCATTCGGATGGTTTCCTAACGTAAAGCTATTGGAAAAAATTGTTAAAGCTTAGGGTAGTAATTTGAGAAATCTATAATTCAATTGGAGATTAATTAAAATTTCACAAAAATTTCAAGTGAATTTCATATTATATCTAAGCCCAAAAAAAAAAAAAAAATCTCTCACCTATGTAGCCATGTAGAGGTTGATCCATGGTTAATATAAAACTTTATATTGAAATAGACAAAGAAATTAATAATGAATTTAAGCTTCACCCATGACTTGTAAATCAAAATTTAATCTTACAAAAAAAAAAGAGGGGGGGGGACTTCATGAAATTAAGCAAATCAAAGAATAAAAGGGCGACTTAAAGAAATAGGTAATTAATTCCATAAAATAAATTAAGTTTTGAATATGCTAAAAAAATTCATCAATCTATGACTTAGGTTTGTTTTATTTTTAAATGGTCCGAAGAAATCCGTACTCAATTTTAATTAATAAGGTAATAATAGAGCTAGAGAACATCCAAGGATGGGCATTATTATTTAGGTTGCTAGGTTAAATACATGTGATTCTACATTGCTATGGAGCAAAATGGGATCCACTTGTATTAAATTCATAGATAGTTTCCATGTACA